GATAGATAGATAGATAGATAGATAGATAGATAGATAGATAGATATGGATGGATTGATAGAGAGATGATAGATAAATAGACAGTGATAGATTAGATGGATGGATGGATGAGAGATAGATAGATGGATGGATGGATGGATAGATAGATAGATAGATAGATAGATGATAGATTGGATGGATGGGTGAGAGATAGATAGATAGATGGATGGATAGATAGATAGATAGATAGTGATGGAAGGAGATAGATAGATAGATAGATAGATAGATAGATAGATAGATAGATAGGATAAATAGATTGATGGATGGATGGATGGAGAGAGAGATGATAGATTAGATAGTGATAGATGATAGATAGATAGATAGATAGATAGATAGATAGATAGATAGATAGATAGATAGATAGATTAGATAAATAATTGATAGATGGTAGATTAGATAGATGGATGGATGGACGGATAGAGAGAGATATATAATAGATAGAGACAGAGAGCGAAAAAGTGAGACAGAGACAGAGAGCTTGGTGCTGTAGAATAGGATATGACAGTGGTTGGAGGCGGAGTGTGTTGTGTGAATTCAGCCTACAAACTTCTGTCCCCCTGGAAAGAAGTAGGGCGATTAAAGAGCAACCCCCCCACCCACCCCCAGCCTTGGAAGTCACCATTTCATTTGCCTTTTACAATAGCAAAGAAGAGCCAGGAAAATTACGTTGACTTTGGAAAAACCATCCCAAAATGAGGGAGGCCAGTTTCGACATGTTAGGGAGATTTCCCTCCGTGTTGCAGACATGAAGCTGTTTATCCATTTTTTAAAATCCCCAAACAGGCCTTTGGGAAAATGCTTCTATTTCTGAACTGGCTACAGGAAACCAACAGTCCCCTAATATCTCCCGACCGTGGGAGCTTGGCGGATGTGGTAGACTTCAACTCCCAGAATTCCCCTGTGCAGGAATTCTGGGAGTTGTAGTCCACCATGTCTTCAAGCTCCCACGGTCGAGAAGTACTAAATATAGAATACAGAATAGCAGAGCTGGAAGGACCCTTAGAGGTCTTTTAGTCTGACCCCCCCTTGCTGAAGCAGGAAATCCTACCCCATCCTAGACAAATGGCCCTTCTAAAAACCTCCAGTACCCTTAAAAGGAGACAGAATTTTCTAAAGGAAAAGACTGTTTAATCCACTGGGAAGATTGCACTGTGCTGCACACAGAATATAATACCTGCTTTGCACGCTGCCTTAGGCACAATTAAGTGAAGCGTGCACAAGGATGAGCGTGTTCTTGGAATGGGGGAAGGGCAATCTTTTGCAGCCAGACAGACACAGGATCTTCCCCTATTGATTAAAAAAAGAAAAGAAGTCTTCCAATATTTGAGGGGCTGCCCCAGAGAGGAGGAGGAAGGGGGTCAAGCTATTTTCCAAGGCACCCAAAGGCCAGATAAGGAACAACAGATGGAAACTGAACCAGGAGAGATTCAACCTGGAAATAAGGAGGAGTTTTCTGACAGGGAGAACCATCAACCCATGGAACAGAAGTTGCCTTTGGAAGTTGTGGGAGCGCCATCGCTGGAAGCTTCCAAGAATAGACTGGGTCAGAAATAGCGTAGGGCCTCCTGCTTGGGCAGGGGGTTGGACTAGATGACCTACAAGGCCCCTTCCAATTCTGTTAATCTGTAATCTCTTATATACCTCTCTAAGTGGGGCTGCTTCGTTGTGCAAAATCACACACACCCCCGCACACACACACAGACACGCACTTTGGAGCCATAGAAAAAAATGTGTAGAAGTTGCACTTGGTAACCGAAGACCTTTAACCCCGAAGGTGTCCGCTGGGTGAATGGCCTGTGCCACGCCAGGTGCCCCCTGCTAGAGAGACGCCCAACCACAACTACCAGCAGCCACACTGGCTGAGGATCATGGGGCTTTAGCCGTCTCCTGAGAGGGAGCTCCAAGAGAGCTTCTCTCTTACCTGAAGGCAACCGGGATCCCTTTTCACTCTGCACTCTCCCTCTCTCTCCCTCTCTCTCTCCCTCCCCTGCTCTGCAGGATCCAATCTGAGTCAGTCCTGGGTCCTTAGGGGTTCTCTCTCTCTCCTTCCCTCCGGCGCGCGCTCTCTCTCTCTCATATCACTGTTTAGCTCCTCCCTCCCTTTCTTTCTTTCTCTCTCTCTCTCTCTCTCTCTCCCTCTCATCACTTTTTTATCTCCTCCATTTTTTCTTCTTTCTTTCTCTCTCTCCCTCCTTTTCTATCTCTTATCACTTTTTATCTCCCCCTTCCTTCCTTCCTTCTTCCTTCCTTCCTTTCTTTTTCTTTCTCTCTCTCTCTCTCTCCCCCTCATCACTCTTTTATCTCCTTCCTTCCTTCCTTTCTCTTTGTCTCTCCCTCCCTATCTCATCACTTTTTATCTCCCCAATTTTTTCTTTTCTTTCTTTCTTTCTTTCTTTCTTTCTTTCTTTCTTTCTTTCTTTCTTTCTTTCTTTCTTTCTTTCTTTCTCTCTCTCTCTCTCTCTCTCTCTCCCCCTCCTTTTCGATCTCTCTCTCATCACTTTTTATCTCCTCCCTTTTTTCTTCCTTTTTCTTCCTTTCTCTCTCCCTCTCCTCACTCTTCACCTCCTCCCTTTCTCTTTGTCTCTCCCCTCCCTCCTTCCCTCCCTCCCTCTCCTTCTCCCTCTCTTTCTCCAAAACGCGTGCGCTGCAGTTGGGGCGCCGTGCCGGCTGGGGCTGAGCGGCTCTGGAGTCCCCGGAGGCTTTTGCGCAAAGAGAAGTCGTCTTTGCGCGGCTGGCTCTCGGCCAAGGGGCTCTCCGCGCGCGGAGCCCCGGGGGTGGGGTGCGGGTGGGCTTCTTCTCTGCCAGGGAAGGGAAGGGGAGGGGAGGAGAGGCAGGGCAGGTGCTCCGCTCACCTTGGCCAGCGCCGCCTCTTGCTTGGCGCTCAAGTCCCCGACGTGCCCGCTCATGGTCGCCGCGCCAGCCGCCTTCTCGCTCCTTGGGCACCGGCGCCGGTGGCTTTGAGCGGCACCGGGCGGGCAGGACACGCCTTCACCCATCCCGGGAGACGCCTCCCTCGCTCGGAGGGGAGGGGGCAAGAGGAGGAGGAGGAGCTTCAACGGGTGGGAAAGTCCTCCTCCCGACAGGTGTCCTTGGTTTCATGACCCCAAACAAACGAGGTATCCTCAGTGCTAGGAGGAGGAGGAGGAGGAGGCGAGGAGGAGGAGGAGGAGGAGGAGGACCGCTGTGGGGTCCTTGAAGCTCTCAGAGTTTGCTTGTTTTCTTGCAGACCTTTCATGACCCTACTAGGTAACACAAGGGTCTTCAAGCTTGGCAAGTTAAGACCTGTGGTCTTCAACTCCCAGAATTCCTGAGCTAACTTGACTGGAGGAGGAAGAATTCTGGGAGTTGGAAGTCCACAAGTCTTAAAAGCGGTCAAGTTTGAAGACACCTGGAATAGACAGATAGAGAAAGAGAGAGAGAATATAGAAAGAGAGTGAGATACAATAGATAGATAGAGGGGGAGAGAAAGATAGACTAGATAGATAGAATAGATAGAGAAAAAGAGGTAGAATAGATAGAAAGAGAGAGATAGAATGGATAGATTGATAGAGTAGAACAAGGGTCTTCAAACTTGGCAAGTTTAAGACTTTGTGGACTTCAACTCCCAGAATTCCTGAGCTCACATGACTGGAGGAGGAGGAAGAATTCTGGGAGTTGAAGTCCACAAGTCTTAAAGCTGTCAGAGTTTGAAGGCCCCTGAGGTAACATCATCAGTGCTAGCATTAGCACTGATGATGAAGAGATGAACCTTGTCCAGGAAGGTCTTTACCCTTCAGTTCTTGTAATGCTCTTGTAATGTAAACTCCTCTCCACCTGGTCTCTGGTCACCCCCTTCTTCTTTTTCCTCCCCCTGTTCCTAGCACCAGAGTTTTCCCACGGAGCTAACTCAATAGTCTAATGTTTGAAATGGGTACTGCTGCTCCCATAATCCCTGGCAAGGATTTCGGAGGGATCTGTCGCCCAGTCGGGAAGGCCCCGATGAGACGATGGGGCCAAGAGGAAGAAACGTGTTGGGCCACCTGTCAAGGAACTTTTGGTTTGACCAGCTGGGGTGAAGAGCTGGTGGGGTTTATGCCCGGGGCTGGGTAGGCAGGAGGCGAGGTTGGCGGCTTGGAGATGGGAAGAAATTGGGAGGTAAAAAAGGAGAACAGAACAGAACTTGTGGCTGGGCAAGTCTGAGTGGTGGATCAGGTTGCATTTCGTCCAGCCCTTCTTATATAACCTGAGTGTTGACATCCCATTTAGAGGAATATTTCTCAACCGTGGCAAGTTGAAGGTGGGTGGACTTCAACTCCCAGAATTCCCCAGCAAAGCCATGGATAGAATAGAATAGAATTAGAATTAGAATTAGAATTAGAATTAGAATTAGAATTAGAATTAGAATTAGGGTAGGGTAGGGTAGGGTAGGGTAGGGTAGGGTAGAGTACAGTAGAATAGAATAGAATAGAATAGAATAGAATAGAATAGAATAGAATAGGAATGAGAATGAGAATTAGGGTAGGGTAGAGTAGAGTAGAGTAGAGTAGAATAGAATAGAATAGAATAGAATAGAATAGAATAGAATAGAATAGAATAGAATTCTTTATTGGCCAAATGTGATTGGGCACACAAGGAATTTGTCTTGGTGCAAATGTTCTCACTATACATAAAAGAAAAGATACATTTGTCAAGAATCATCAGGGACAACACTTAATGATAGTCAGAGGGTACAATAAGCAATCAAATCATACTAGGAAACAGTCCATATAAATCGTAAGGATACAAGCGACAAAGTTACAATCCTAAAGTCACAAGTGGGAGAAGATGGGCAATAAGGAGTGATGAGAAGATTAATAGTAACAGTAATACAGGCTTTGTAAATAGTTGTTGAGGGAATTATTTGTTTAGCAGAGTCATGGCGTTCTAGAAAAAAACATCCTTGTGCCTAGTTGTTCTGTTGTACAGGGCTCTATAGCGTCGTTTTGAGGGTAAGAGTTGAACTGGTTTATGTCCAGGATGTGAGGGGTCTGTAAATATTTTCACAGCCCTCTTTTTGACTCGTGCAGTATACGGGTCCTCCATGGAAGGCAGGTTGGTAGCCATTGTTTATTCTGCAGTCCTGATTCCTCTCTGGAGTCTGTGCCTGTCCTGTTGGGTTGCAGAACCAAGCCAGACAGTTATAGAGGTGCAGATGACGGACTCCATCATTCCTCTGTAGAACTGGATCAGCAGCTCCTTTAGGGCAGTTTGAGCTTTCTGAGTTGGCGCAGGAAGAACCTTCTTTGTTGTGCCTTTTTGATGACGTTTTTGATGTTAGGGCTCCATTTTAAGCCATGTGATTTGAGCTTCCTGAGCATGAAGTGAAACACGGGTTAAGTGAGTTCATCCCCAATTGGTGATCTTCCCTGCCACCGTCGTTAAGTGAATCACAGCAGCTGATAAAGAAGTCAAACTGTTGTTAAAAGTAAATCCAGCATCCCCATTGACTTCATTCATCAGAAAGGTCGCAAAAGGGACACTGTCATAAATATGAGTCAATTGCCAAGCGTCTACATTTTGACTGCATGGCTGCCGGGCTGCTACAACAGTCCTTAAGTGCCCCTTAATTCCTTCTTCTTGGCCCTTAAATCCTTTAATCTCCCCCCCACCCCTTTTGCCAAATTGCACCAAAAAATGTATTTTGCCACAGCTCCCCAGACCAGTCCTAAATGGGAATTTGATGGCAGCAGGAGTTGACATAATACACACATCGTTTCCATCTGGGTTTCTTGTCCAACCAGTTCTGCTTAAATCTGGAAATGCTCCAAGTTGAGAAAAAAAAAAGACCTTTTTTTCTTTAAAAAGAAAATAGCAGAGAGTGGGGAAAAAGCCTGTTTGTGTTGTGCAACCTAATCCATTTAAGCTCCCTTCCCCGAAGTGTCAGGCCAGGCGACTGACAATGGCCAGTTGTTAACAGATGGGAAGGTGATTAAGGAAATATTTGAAATGTGCAGAAATGGATAGGCTAACGCTTTCTATTAAGGATAAAGAAGAAACTAGATCCTTTTTGATGTGGGACTTATTTTATCGATGGCTAGACAATAAAAACAGGAGTTAGAAAGAAAAGGATAAGTGTTAAAATGGAAGTGTGTTAAAACGGACAAGCATCATTGTTACTACAGTAGTAATGTTGTTGTGATGCATGTTGTTATAAACACTTTATGATTGCCTAAAAATAATTGTACCCAGACTGTGCTGGTTAGACCAGGGGTCGCCAACCTTTTGGACCTCAGGGACCACCAAACTCATAATGTTAAATCCCAGGGGATTTAAATATTTATTTATATAAATATTGAATTTTTTTATAAAAAAAAGAACAACTTTTACCCAAAATCAGGCAAAGCAGGCAAGCAGATTGAGTTGCTCACAGAATCATTCGGTGATCTATCTATCTGCCATCGGCTAGCTCAGTCTGTCACATGATATTTGCTTGCTGTGAGTCTGCACAATAGAACCTTCAGTCCTAAGGAAGGTTTGGCTCTGCTTAAAAGCAGAGCCGAAGATTTAAAGACTAGCTAGAAAGCAAGAAATCCAACCATTTCCTGCTTCCTAGCAAATCTAAATCTCCCGGCACAGCAGAACAGATTGCCGAAAAAAGGAAAAATAGAAATTTAGCAGGCAAGTTTACCAGGTAAGGAGTGAGTGGGCGGGGAGGATTCCCGCGGGCCATGTGTATGGCGCAGCCTTGTGTTTCTGCACAGCCTGGATTAATTGCTTTGGTGGGGTGCTCTGGGGGTGAGATTTCTCTGTGGCCCACCAAAATTTTCTCACAGCCCACCGGTGGGCCGTGGCCCACCAGCTGGTGACCGCTAGGTTAGACAGTATATACTTAGTTTAGGAATGAGAGCTGTCCCCTTAAGGGAATGCTTCATGGGAAATGTAGTTAATGCCTCTTGGGAGGTGTAGCTAATGTCACATGGTCACATCTGTAATCCTGATTGGTCACTGACTTGATCTCTGGTTGGGTTGGGGGAGTATTTTGGGGCATTCTTACCTGGACACCAGCATTGTGCTGGAGAGTATTTTCCGCCATAATGCTACGGGATGAAGATAACCATCTTTTCACTTTCATGTCCCAACAATTAAACACTACAAAGGCTTCCATGCAAAGTTAATTTATTGGATTTATTAGGCATCCTCAACGTACAACTCACCGTTATGTTGAGATTCATCTAATGTCTCCTCTTGCCTTCTGGTGCTTTGGGGAATAGCTTGACTCCCTCTTCTTTGAGGCAGCCCCTCAAATACTGAAATACTTCTATCATGTCACCCCTAATTCTTCTTTGCTCTAGACTAGCCAGACCCAAAACCTGCAGCCATTCTCCGTGTGTTTTAGTCTCTAGGCCTTTGATCGTTTTAGTTGCTCTTCTCTGAATTTTTCCCCCAAAATCTCAATATCATTTTTGTATCGAAATTGGTCGCAGGATCCCAGGTGTGGCCTAACTAGGGTTTTATAAAGCGGCACTAATACATCTTGCTGTCTGGTGCTTTGGAGAATAACTTGACCTCCTCTTCTTCTTTGGGGCAGCCCCTCAAATATCGGAAGACTGCTATCCTGTCACCCCTAGTCCTTCTTTTCTCTAGACTAGCCATACCTAATTCCTGCAACCGTTCTTTGAGGATTATGAGGATATCTGAGGATTAAAACCATTGCTGGTCACCGAGGCCAGGAAAGCAAAGCTTGCAAAATAAATCCATAATCCACAAATAAATAAATAAATACATAAACCACCCCACCTGCCTCTCTGCCAGCAGAGCTTTGATCCCCGCCGAGATTACGAAACCTCCCCCTCTCGCCTGTCCTTCCTTCTCTCAATTGGGCCAACCAACGCTGAGACAATGAAGAAACAGCTGCACCTCTCTGTTTTCGTACCTGGTACTCTGCACTGCATGTTGCCCAATCAAGGTTGCCCAATCGGCACGTGAACAGGAGAG